TGTACTTTTCATTTTTACTTGAGTACAATTTCGGCAGCAGTACTGTTTGTTTTGAATACAAGTTTGATCTATAACACTTCAAAAATTGTGTTTAAAAGTAATACAGTATATTTTGTACGCATACTTTTTACTTAAGTAGAACTCTGGAAGCAGTATTTGTACTTTAACCCTTTTTTTGTTTTAAATAAAAGTTTGATCTAAAATACTCTGAAAATTGTTTAAAAGTAACTTGTAACTAGTACTCTGGGTCAGATTTTTTTCTTTTTATTTTAGTTCAATTTTTGTAGCAGTATTTGTACTTGCATACTTTTTGTGTGTGTGCTTTAATAAAAGTTTGATCTAAAATACTTTGAAAATTGTGTTTAAAAGTAACTTGTAACTAGTACCCAGAGCAGTATTTTTAATGTGTGGTTTTTACTTTTACTTGAGTATAATTTTGGCAGCAGTACTTGTACTTGTTTACTTTGTGTGTGTGTGTTTTTAATAAAAGTTTGATCTCAAATACTTTAACTAACTAGTATCCGGCAAAGTATTTTTCCTGCATACTTTTCACTTTTACTTTCGTACAATTTTGGCAGCAGTACTTGTACTTGTATTTTTTTTTTTTTTTGAATTAAAGTTTGATGATTCAAAATTGTGTTTAAAAGTAGTAAACTGTCATATTTTCATTTTAATTAAACATGTGATTTAAAATACTGAACTCTGGGTCATATTTTTTCATGCGTATTTGTACTTAGATACTTTTTGTGTGTTTAAAAGTAACTTATAACTCGTACCGGGAGCAGTATTTTTCATTTTTACTTGAGTACAATTTTGGCAGCAGTACTGTTTGTTTTGAATAAAAGTTTGATCTATAATGCCTTGAAAATTGTGTTTAAAAGTAAAATACTATCATAATTTTCATGCATACTGCTTCCAGAACTGTTCTTAAGTAAAAGAAAGTATTTGTACTTTAACACTTTTTGTTGTTTTGAATAAAAGTGTGATCTAAAATACTTTGAAAATTGTTTAAAAGTAACTTGTAACTAGTACTCTGGATCATATTTTTCATGCATGTTTTTTTTTTTTACTTTTGTACAATTTTTGTAGCAGTATTTGTACTTGTATACTTTTTGTGTGTGTGTGTGTTTTAATAAAAGTGAAATACTTTGAAAATTGTGTTTTTTAAAGTAACTTAACTAGTATCCAGAGCAGTATTTTTCATGTGCACTTTTCACTTTTACTTGATTGAGTACAATTTTGGCAGCAGTACTTGTACTTGTATACTTTCTTTGTGTGTGTTTTTAATAAAAGTGTGACCTAAAATACCTTGAAAATTATGTTTAAAAGTCACTTATAACTACTATCTGGAGCAGTATTTTTCATGTGTATTTTTCGCTTTTACTTGAGTACAATTTTGGCATCAGTACTGTTTGTTTTGAATAAAAATATGATCTAAAATACTTCGAAAATTGTGTTTAAAAGTAATATACTATCATAGTTTTAATTTTGGAAGCAGTCTTTGTACTTGTTTTTGTTTTAAATAAAATTGTGATCTAAAATGCTTTGAAAATTGTGTTGAAAAGTAACTTGTAACTAGTATTTTAGTAGTTTCCTGCACACTTTCACTTTTACTTCGGTACAATTTTGGCAGCAGAACTTGTACTTTAATACTTATACTTGTATTTTTAATGCATCAAAAACTCTATTAAAATTCGACTTTTCCTTCAGTACAGTTTGGTACTTGCAATCGACAAACTTTACTACACTTTTACTTGAGTACACACTTGCAGTACTTTCCAACACTGCGCTGAACTCGTTAGATTTTTGTAAGTGCGTGTTGAGAGTTTAAAAAGCGACCACAATTAAAAGCCTGTGATTGTAAAACCATTTTTAAACCAACTCGGAAAAACTCGTCAACAGTTTCTCATCGTGTCTGGAATTTGGATTTGGTGCGTAAATTTTGACTCGAGCTCCATTTATGATTTTGTAATGAAATTTAGACCGAAAATTAGGTCACCCATTTTCACCAAAAGTACTTGAGGTTTATGGACTTGTTCCTAAGACTACTACTACTACTACTACAAATATTATGAATCCTACAAAAGTGAAAGTAAAAAAACATGATTCTGAAACTTTGACGTATTTTTTTTCTTCGTTTTATCCATCTTATAATATTACACGAAACTAATTAAGTAACATTTATTTTAGCGTGCTTTTATTAACAAGTAGCAGCTAATTTGCATGCAAGATTAACCGTGATCGAATCGAAATCGCAATCGGAATTCACGCATTTAGCCGCAGCTTTTCCCCCAGACAAACAAACACAATTTTCACAAGTTTTATTCTGCGTAAAAGCTGCAAAAACTGTGGTTTAGATTCGTGCAAACGTGTTCAAAAATGTGATTCTTGTTCGTATTTTAGTCTTTTTTAAATGAACTTTGAAGAGAATCCTTTTTAATCCATGATTAAAACACAAATTGCAAATCAAAATCACAAAATTGTCTGATTTAAGGCCTAGTTTTTTTCGCAAATGGTGCAGCTCTAATGTGTTTTAATTCACAATATTTTCTTCATAAACTTATATTTATTTATTATTTAGCCACTTTCCTTAACAGTTTTTAGTTCTGCTTATAAGTATAAAACGTGAATTTCTTGTGGTAGTAGCTCGTAACACTGCCCTTATGATCAAAAAAACGATATTAAAATCATAATTCATGCACAAAAATGCCATAACATCACATTCATAACGTTATAATAAGTTTATAAATAGGAAATAGTTAGTACATAGGCAAAAAATAAAGAAATAGAAACAGAAATCACCACGTAGAGTTTGTAAGTTTCTTTTCTTCTCGTTATAATTCCTTGGATTTTAGAATTATAGACAACTACGACTGTGCCAAAGCAGTTAACCGTATGCAAATGAGCAGCTAGAGTTCGATATGAAGCCCATTTTTTTCTCATTATGGTTCCGTGGGCTTAAGAATTGCAGAAAATTACGACTCTTGCCATTGTGCGTCCTAAAATAAAGTGTTAAATCCCCACGGCGGAGAGACAATAACCGACTGAACGAGCCAAACTTTTCCTTTACATATATTTCCCGTGTATCCATTTTGGCCACTGTACCCAAACGCGCTTTTCCAGATCAAAGCTCTCCAAAATCACCTCTGCGCTCCGCTCCTTCGCAGCCCCATCCGTGCGTCAGTGCCGTCTGATGGATGACTGGCGCACAGGAAGCCGCGCGCATGAGTTAGATCCACGGGCTAAAGCTCCCGTCTGGGCCCGGGGTGGGAAGCGGAGGAAGAAGACGAAGAGGAGGAGGAGAGGAGGAGGAATGCGGAGGATTTTCGAGCTTAAACGCCATAGCATGTGCGCCAAGAGTGTCCAGAACGTCTCCAAAACGCGCGCTTCGGCCTCTTCTGCGTCGTGGATGGGAATGGCACGCAGCACTGACAAGTCTTCTCACCATAAATTAAGCGCGTAAAGCTTTGATTGTCGTAAATTACGGCTTTTACGCACGACGCTCCGATTTAAACTGTTCCAGCATAGACTTTTAAACCATTACGCACCAACGTACAGCGTAGTTTCCCACTGATAACGAGTGCAATCCCGCGTGGTAAGCCTCAAGTTCTCAAGCGGCCGTCCAAAACTTTGTACCATCCGAGTATACGCAGCCGACACGTCTCCAAAACTGTTCCAAAATAGTTCCGTGGTTCCTTTACGCGTCCTCTCCGCAGAGTGAGCACCCAAAGCCGGACCAGGGGGCTATAGCGATCCTGTTTCCCCTCGCGTTTAGCACCGGTCATATATCAGGCCTATAAAAGTGGAGCAGCCGGCCCGCGTGTACGATTTTTATTACGGTATTAAAACTCCAGCCAAAAGTAGCGCGAGTAGTTGTTGTAAAAATAAGAAGCGCTCGTTAACCAAAAATGACTGTTAATCTGCCAATAAAAACGGAGTGAACGCAGCGCGAGGATAAATAATTCACACCTATAGCTGGTTTTACGCATCTATCTTGTCTATCTGGCCCGTGCGTAAAAGTGCATGGCTCAAGTTGGAGCTAATGGCGTTTATAACATGGATTGATGTGGATAACAATTCAGCACAAGTGGCTTCTGACGGCTCTAAATCCAAAAACGCGCGCACATGTTCTGATCACTATAAATATACTTTACGCACGGCACAAACCTAATGATTATTTGTCAGCCGCTGTCCGCCCGCGCGTATTACGCACAGTGCCAAGACCGATTCCTGCTTCTATATCATCCTCTACCACGCCAGGATAAAAAGTGAACATATTTTTCAGTGTATTCTTTCGTGTAGCATGTAAAATAAAACAGGAACTTTTATTTTAAAGCTGCAGTCTGGTGAAATGTTTTGGGTGATTTGCAAAAAGCGTGACGGATTTAGAAGGATTTACGAAGACATTCCAAAAAAAAAAAAAATACGCGTGGCGAGCAAAATTTTCTAAGTTTTTATGTTGCAAATCAGAGTAAAAAATATCTAGGCATAGTTAACATTTTGATTTGAAGTTGTTCCAGTGACATTTTTTCACCTTTTCTTCAAATAACCTGAAATGATTGTGCTTTATGGCTCTTAAAGGGGCAGAATTACGCGCGGGGAAATGTATGGTACAATAATATACTGCGCCATACAGACGCACAATGGTCACGTGCATAAATTTGGACTCGGGCTCATTTTGCATATTGCATATAAACAAGATCATTTATTTAGAGGGCAATCTATTAGAGACGGAGCGGAGAGGGGGAGGCCGCTGCGTGCCTGATTTACGCACCATTGACGCTTTATCAGGCAACAAGGAAAAAGTCCGGCCAATCAGTTCTCGCCTCGCGCACACGCAGGCAGTCCTTCCCCCGCGCGCGCATGCAGGGGCTGTAGCGAGTAGCACTTTGTTTCTGGAGAGAGTTTCGGTGGACGCGAAGGGAGGGGGAGGACCCGGGAGTGTGTGTGCTGTGGAGCCGCTCTGCTTAGACCCTGTGCGTCCCAGAGAATGTCCGATGATGGCCGTGTCTGGCGCTCTCAGCAACTACTACGTGGACTCCATCATCAGTCACGAGAGCGATGAACTGTCGGGGCCGGCCGCGCGCTTCCCCGGGCCGTACTCCTCCTCCTCCGCGAGCCCCGCGTCAGCCAGCGGCGGCGCGAGGCAACCGGGGGTCGGCGTGCACGCGGATCACCCGGACCCGTACCCGTCGTGCAGCTTCCAGCCCAAACCCCCCGTCTTCTCGTCGTCCTGGAGCCCGTTCAGCCCGCACCACGGCGTCTACCACCCGTACCTCCCCGCGCAGCACGTGCCCGCCGCGGACTCTCGCTACCTGCGCTCGTGGCTGGACTGTGCCCCGCGCGCCTCGGACCCGGGGCAGGGGCAGGTCAAGCTCGAGCCGCAGCTGGGGCATCTGAACGCGGAGCTGCCGGGGAAGCTCGGAGCGCAGCATCCGCTCGACAGCGCCTACATTCTGGAGCCTTCCCCCGTGGAGCCCCGGGAGCTGAGCCACCATCCCGTGTCCATCCCCGGAGCGAGCTTCGACGACAGTAAGGACGTTTGTGACGGGCCCGAGGACAAAGACGCGCTGGATCAAAGTAAGTCCTTTTCTCGGGCGGAAATAGCGGCGGAGAGCGAGGGATTGTAAAAGCGTTTTATGCCGCCATAAAACACGAACAAAGAGCCGGGAGCCGACCCCCGCCTCCCGCTCCGAGTTCACTGGGAGTTGGCTCCTGTCATCTGCAGCCTTATGAGCCGCGCTGACCCCGGCCACGACCCGCGCCGCGCCGGTCACTGCCTTTTAGACACTTGTTTTACACATGCGTAATATGGAGATGTGCAAACTTACTAAAACTTTACTTTAGTTTAACGGGATTTGTTCACTTGGAGACAACTTCAACTTGTCCAACTTAGACAAAGCCAAGACTTGTGTTCTCCAAATAGTCAAATAAAACAATAAACAGTCTTTAAATAAGAAATCAAAGAAGGAAATCTGCACACAATTTCACTTTAAGTACAATTTAGGTTCAGTTTTAAATTAGAATATTTGTCCCAAGCAGCTCAAAGTTATTTTAGAATGTATAAACTCAAAACATATTTCCTTTCCTTTTGTGCAACGTTGTAGTTTTCTTGTGCGTCTTACAGAAACCACTAAACGTGCTTCTAACTTCTTTGAGTAGTCGAAAATAATAAAATATCAACATGTCAAATATTTACTTTTACGCATGCGTCTGTGACTAGGCCACTTAACCCAAACTGTGCTCACTTCAGTTACAAGAGCTTATAGAAAACATTGGATCTTAACTCCCTAAATGTACATTTGAGTTACAGCGATGCTCTGTTTGTTTTACAAGTGCTTTGCTGTCTTGTTTGGTAATCTAAACAGTAGTAATCCGGCTTTACCCAATCACCCCGTGTCATCGTGCGTAATTAAAAGCGCAGTCCTTTACGCACAGTAGTCTCTTTGTCTCATTCGCTTGTAAAATAACAGAAGTCTATAACACGCGCGGGATAACGACCTCTCCGGGGAAGTTTTCCTATTGGACAGTAAAAGTAAAATATTTCTTCGGCTCGTTGTGGGTTCCCGTGCGTTAATTGCCGGGACATGCGCACTCCTGACTTGTTTAAACAGGACGGAGCGGCTGGAGCGGTAGATTTGTCATTTTTACGGCAGGTACATTGTAGCTCGTAGCTCTTGCTTTCTCTGGCTGTCGCCGTTCCGTGCGCCCCAAGCTCTGGCTGCATGTTTTACGCGGCTCGGGGCGCTGCAGGCTGGGGTTAGGCTCTGTGGTATTTTGCGTAGGATGTGAGTTGGCACCGGAGCGGGAACAGCAGCTGTATCCGAGGATCTGGGTCAGTTTAGACGGAAACATTGGCGCGTGGCCACAGAGGATGACCGAGGTCCGAGTGTGAATTTCCCATATATCTGAGAAGTGATGTTGAGTTTGTGTTGAGAGCTCGTGTTTGAAACGGAACATGATTTTGAGCGTGTTGTTGTAGTGTGGACACGTTTGTTTTGGCGCGTTATAGAAGAATCAGTTTAAACAAAAGTGCCACGTTAGAAGCACTAAAACAGAACTGTGATGTTTATCATAATACTGGGAAAATGTTTATTTGTTTAAAATTCATAAATGCAAGTTTTAATATAAGTCTAGTGTAGTAGTTGCATGAAGTATAAGTCTATAACTCATCAGTGATTTTATTATGTGGATTAGGTTCATATATCTGTCTGTAAACCCTGTGCGTAAAGACGCACAGTGATATAATGGTCCATGTAAGATCCAAACGCCACACAAAGTGCGCACGCAGCCTGTGCGGAACTGAAGCGCAGCCTTATGGGTCTGAAGCATACACACATGCCACATGTTTGGTCTCTCCATTGTTAAAGCATGAGGATAATGTCAGACTGTTTCTGTTTCTCTTTTTCCCGGGGAGAGACATATGTTCAGAGTGGTTCGTCTAACAGGCACCATCCTCTTTGTGTAATAATGTTGTATTATACTTTATAAGTTACAAGATTTCCCTCTGAGTTTGTGTAAGAGTTTGATGTCTGTCACAAATAAAACTCAAACACAGTTTGATCCAGTCTGGTATATCTTGTCAGACTCGCCTTTAGTATCCACATTAAGTCCACATATCTGTCCATAAAGCCGCGCGTAAACACAGGCGGAGTGATATATCTGCTCTGATGGCGGCTCCAAACCTTGTCCATCAGAAAATAATCCGCGGAGTGTCAGCCGCGCGCCGTCTCCCCAAATCATAAAAGCGGAGCGGCCGTCCATCACGGGGCCGGGCCGGAGCCGCGCCGCCAGATGAGCTCTGAGCACTCCAAAGGCCCCATAACTCATGCGTCAGAGCGCGCGGAGGCACCAGAGCGCGCACGGCTCCTGCTCTGGAGGCGCTGAGAGGAGAGGAAACCGGAGAAGACAAACATGCCGCGGGCTCAAAACCTACTTTTCAAAGCACGTCTGCAGAATAGTTACAACTACTTAGGCTTTTTGTCACGGGAAATATATTTGAGCTCAGGTATGACCTGGTTTTATCAAGAGCTCCGACACTCGTGTGTTTGTTACATTTCCACAAGGAGAGGAGACGTTTCACGAGTGTAGTCGCTTTGTTTTAAAAATAAAGATGTTTCGACTCACACACAGAAGTCTTTTGTTATATAATGTGGAAAAAGAAAACACACGTTTTCATCTGGGATAAAACATATATATGAAACATGATATAAACCGGGTTTATCCCTAATATCTCCCAGATGAGACGGAGAAGAAAGGCCTGATTTATGTTTTATGTTTCAACACAACGTTTGACAAAAGTAACTGTTGTTCTCATACAACCAGAAATATCAATTTATTGTTTCTAAAATCTAAAAGTAGGAGATAAAACAGATTAAAATGTAAAAAACCGGATACATGTTTTTACAAAGAACATTCAGTCGCTTATGAAACATTCCCTTACGCGTATCCAAAGACAAAGACAACAACATTTCTGAATATTTAGTCAGCACTGTGATCTATTTCAGATTCCTGACACACACACAGGGCCATAGAATAACAATGATCAATATTTCCCAGCCCACAATCTTTGGGGAGCACAACATGGCGACGTTATGGCTCCTCAAACATACACGAACCATTGTGAACCGGACCGCGCGTTTCGGACTCTCTCTTTATAATATATTACCAAAGCCCAGCGCAGCTCATTACGCGTTACAAATGTTCCCAGAGAAACGCGCGCTGTGCCGTGTCCACAAAGCGCCGGTCTGTGCGCGCTCCGGTCCGCCCCGAGCCCCGAGACGCCCCGCTGCTTTTATGGAACTGTTCTGTGGATTCTACCTGCGTGATTCATCTGCCCCGGCTCCAAAATAACCCGATGTGGCCCGTCGTGGCGCGCACTCGTGTTGATGGAACGTTTACGCACGCTAACGACAACACTGAATCCATCACGGAGCGGCGACGTTTGGACGGCGCGTGGAGGAATTATTTTAGGCGGGATTCGTAAGCGCTCCCCAGAAACGAATCACTAATGTTTTACTTTGCTTTTTTTTTTTTGCTCCTGGTATTTTCCATGCAGAGGTGGGCAGAGCTCTTAGTTACTTTTACTCGCAGAAGTAACAGTACTCGTGCGTAAAAGTTCCTCTTCGTCTTCCCACCGGGCGTAATTGTAAAGTGACAAAAAAATGAAACGATTTGAACATTTGTGTGTCTTGCAGCTCCTTCACATCTGATTTAGTGTCTCGTTTTTGTGTCTGTACCAGATTTTGTACAGCATTTATAATTTTTTGTACTTCCAATCAAAAAATAAATCAGATTTTATGTCCCAACTTTAATTCGTTTTTCCAAATCTTTTTTTTTTTCACTCTGATAAATATTTGGACACCTACTTTGTACTTCAGTTTGAGTGATCGTATTTTGAAGTAATGTTGTTTTAACTTGAGTACAATGTTTCGCCACTTTATCATCTCTTACTGGATATTTTTAGTCCTGGTTTAGTCCTGGTTTAGTCCCTGTTAGGTCTCAGATTTCACACTCCACAAAACAAGTTCAAATGACGTAAATTAAGAATGTTTTACTTTATTTGAGCAGATTCAACTTGATAAGTGAAAGGATCTACTAATGGAATAAGTCTGTTTTTCTTAACTCAAGCAAAAATAGATTTTCGTGTCATATTTTAAGTGCAAAAGGTTCTTGTTTTTCTTATTTTAAGTGTTCCAATATGTATTTTCATATTTTAAGAACTTGTAGTACTTAAAATATGAAAATATTGAAGTATTTCTAAACTGAAATTGAATCAAATCATGATAAATCTTCCTTGATTCTAATCATCTTAACTTTGTGAGATTTTACAATGCAGTCCTTTGTTCAAACACACAATCCTGGTTTAGTTCCAGTTTAGTCCCGGTTTAGTCCTGGTTAAGACCTGGTTCAGTTCCTGTTAGGTCTCAGATTTCAGCCCGTTGTTCAAATGCATAGTCCTAGTTTAGTTGTGGTTTAGTCCTAGTTTGGTCCTGTTTTAGTTCCAATTTAGTCCTGGTTTAGTCCTGGTTTTAGTCCTGGTTTTAGTCCTGGTTTTAGTCCTGGTTTAGTCCTGGTTCAGTTTCTGTTAGGTCTCAGATTTCAGCCCTTTGATCAAATACATAGTCCTGCTTTAGCCCTGTTTTAGTTGCACTTTAGTCCTGGTTCAGTTCCTGTTTCAGATTTCAGCCCTTTGTTCTAACACATAGTCCTGATTTAGTCCTTGTTTAGTCCTGGTTTAATCCTGTTTTAGTCCTGTTTGAATCCTGTTTTAGTCCTGTTTTAGTTCTAATTTAGTCCTGGTTTTAGTCCTGGTTTAGTCCTGGTTTAGTTCCTCTTAGGTCTCAGATTTCAGCCCTTTGTTCAAACACTTAGTCCTGTTTTAGTCCTTGTTTAGTCCTAGTTTAGTCCTGTCTTAGTCCTGTTTTAGTTCCAATTTAGTCCTGGTTTAGTCCTGGTTTTAGTCCTGGTTTAGTCCTGGTTCAGTTCCTCTTAGGTCTCAGATTTCAGCCCTTTGTTCAAACACACGGTCCTGTTATAGTCCTGTTTTAGTTCCAGTTTAGTCCTGGTTTAGTCCTGGC